CTCAATAATTGCTTTCTGCATCCGTTATCCACAATATACTTTATTTCAAGCCAAAATGAGTGTGTGTCACTTACATTTTGGACACGTTCTTCTGTTTCCAGCATTTTTTAGATAGCCTCTTCTGGTTGCCTAGTGAAGGAGGCATGGCCACGGTAATGACAAGACTCCAGACTTGTTTAGATTAAATGAACGAGATATAACGAGATAATTATAGTGAGCGTTGTAACCGTTGAACAGAGCCGGGCTTACCGTTCCTCTGTTTCCACCATTTTTCTAAATATATTCTTTGCATGATGCAAACAGTTGCAAGTTATACCGTTTGGATGGAACAAGGCCAGGTTTTAACAACATCATCGTTAAATGTAAAACATTTATGTCCAAAATGTCAGCTTTTTACTAACACTGGGAGTGTTTTTGGTTCTGTGGCGGTGCATTTTTTGACATGATCCCAGGGATTTAGAAAGGGTGTTCCTTCATCTGAGCTGAAAACTTGAAACCACCGAACATCAGACTGTGAAGAATCATCATCAAAATTGGAATTAGGAGGTTTTCACATCACAACAGCAATATTATTCGAGTGATGTATCACCCAACAAACCAGAATCTGTTATGGAGACCTTTAATGTTTTTTCCCAATCAAAAACAAAACTGGAAGCTATCATTTGTGTTCTGCCTCAGGGTGGTCATTTGACGAGGAATAATTACGTGGTTGTTGCGCGGCAATCTTGTCTTTCTGTATGAGACTGCGCTTCTATCTATACTGCTTTAAAGCCTTTTTAATTATTATCATCTAATAATCATCACCTGTCTCGCTAACTACTGTGACTGGCAAAGGTGTGTCTGGGCAGGTGTGTGTCTCTGTGTGTGCTAGTGGCTTTAATCATCATCAAATAGAGCTGTGTGTATGGGTAATTAGGTTGGTGCCAAATCGACTCTCACTCGCAGGCACGAGTCAGGAACTCTCAACAACACCTCAGTGTTGCATCGCTTAGCAAGTGCTGTGGGCAACTGTATGTCATGCATGTTTTAACACAGCGTGGAGTCCATTACTCAGTGTCTGATATTCTTCTAAACCCTGGTTTACTTTCGCTCCCCACAAGCTGACCATAATACCAGGCTTGTGGAGCCAATGCGGCCGACAGGGCTTGGTCTGTAACCACTCAATGAGCACAAGGATCACGATTGGTGTTCGCACATCTAGGACTGCCGTCCCAAACCCTACACACACACACACACACACATTTACACACCGCACCTTTCCCAGCCCTCAGCATAGCCATGGTTTATGGCTACTGTATGGCTAATATACATGCACAGTATTAGCCCCTCTTTCAACATGTATAGTGCAATATTTCCTTTAATATGAACAACCTGACAGACACTGAACCTGAACAGACATTTTCATCACATGTGAAAATGCACGTTTATTTTTTTTCAACTGATATCTTGATTAATTGTTTAGTCTCTCAAATGTGAAAGAAACAACTCCAGCTGTGACCAGGGAATGTTTTGATTGGTCAAGGTTGGTCCCAGAACTGTATCCCATTGCACCAGTGATAATGCTGCTGATAACTGGTATAACTGTGGGGTTCCCATGTAAAATTCACAATATTACTTTGAGACTTGTTTAATCTCCGTTCTTCCGAGAAAGCTGTTTGTCTGTTTGTCATTGTTCACTGTTCTGCTTCTCCTGTTCAGCGATTGGTCCTTCACTCTTTGGCCCTTCACACACATCTACAAGGGGATAGCTGCTTGGCAGGCATGTGTGTGTGCGCGTGTTTGAGTGAGTGTGTGTTTTCTGAGGTTTGGAATGATTTACACAACCCCACACTCGATTAATTGCAGTATGACAGGACAAACTTGCCTGTGTGTACACACGTTGGTCTGAGGTATCAGGCTGACGGAGACAGCACAGACAGAACACTGTTGACTTACTCATAGATGGAGATCGCTATTTTTTTTACAGACAAACACACTTTATATAGATGTGTATGTTTGTTATTGCTTCCATTCATGCAGTCTAGTGCAAATCTGTACTTAAAACCCTGGGGCACAAGAAATCTGTGCTAGCTGCATACTGTATCCCGTATGTATTATTAGTGCATGTTTATAATATAATGCACTGTAAATGTGAAAAACTGCTCTAAAACACCCTATTCATCATTGAGGTGGGGGAAATGCATTATGATAAGTTAACCAGGGATTTAAATGACCTGCTATGCATTCAAAAGTTGCAGAATTTATCTCCATGTTGTTTTTAAAATGGTGAAAATCTCCTTTTGGTTTGAGCCTCTTCAGCTCTTCAAACGGCTTCACCGCTGTGATCAGATGAGGTGTTTCGGCCAAGGAGCCAATGGCTCTAAATCGAGAACACCCTTGGTCGCTGAGCCAAAGAGGTTTTCCAGGAGAGTGTCCAACAATATCAAAACAATCTCCAGGCTGGATTTCCTTTCTGGCACTCAAACCCCACTGGAGAATGAGAATTTTGGGTTGCATGTGAGAAAATGAAGAACTGTAGGATGAAGACTCATCGCGGGTTGCTGCTCTGAAAAACGAGTCTGTCAATTTAGAAAATTGTCCATAAATGAAAAGTCAGCAGGGGCCTGAAAAAAAAAAGCTATGCAGCAAAACAAAGTCAAGGGATGCATTCATGATCTGTCCACCTCTGCTGCAAATGCTAGTCTCATATTTGTATGACGGTACATGTCCAGTCAATTCTCTGTCTTGAAACCTTAAAAGTCCTCTCCTCAAGAACTGCTTCACATCCTCCCCGATGAATCACATCCTGCTCAGCCAGAACATTTTCCTCCTCCTTTCGCTCTGACATGTTTAAACTAAATCAACCTTTTCACCATGGGTCTCATTTGTTAAGCTAGCAAAAATATTATATCAAACTTCACCATGAACTCAGGGACATAAACGCCTGGGATTGTTTGGGAAAGTTATTATTATTTGCTTTCTTATTATTTGCTTTCTTGACGAGAGTTAGATGTGAAGAGTGATGTCACTCTTGTTTCTCTGTGGTAAATACGAAGCTGCAGCCCAATGTAAACTTAATCTGCCTACCAGCACCTCTAAAGCTCCCTTACTAATAACTTAAAACTTGTTTGTTTAGTTTGTACCAAAGTCAGCGGTATAATCTCTGCTGGTTGCCTAGTGAAAGTGGCGGTGATGACAGGGCTCCACATTTCGATTAAATGAACGAGATATAACGAGTGAATTATAGTGAGCGTTGTAGCCGTTGAACAGAGCCAAGGCTGGCTGTTTCTCTGTTTCCAGCATTTAAGCTAAGCAATCTGCTGGCTCTTGCTACACATGTAGCTTACAGACATGTAGAAAGATAACAAGTGTGTTTCCCAAAAAATGTCCCAAAAACTACTGCTGCATACAATTTACTGTGCACGGTTGCATTTATTATAAGAAATAGAGAGAGACAAAAGACCCATTAAAAGCCTAGAATCAATGTTGTGTCCCATAACTGGCAGTAGTCGAGCGTAGCACACCGATCATCTCAGCTACTGCCTGACTTGACTCTCCCATGTGCTTCAAATGGCTGACCAATTAAGAGCAGCTTAACTCCTGGGTCCAAACACCCATCTCTTTCTCTCTCTCTCACTCACTCACACATAAGCAGGGGCATTCAGACACACAGAACACACATGTATGCATGCACACAAGCATACAAAGTAATAGACACGCAGACCCTGTGCATCCAGTAGGCCTACCACACACAGACAAGGAAACACACACACAGATACATACTCATTAACAAAGGCTTAGTATTGCAGTGTGCATACCCCCAGCAATGTGTAGCTATAGTCTGGCTGACTGGCCTCCCACAGAGGGGGAATACACCTCAGTCACCTGATCCGCTGCTGCTCTCTCATCCTGGATCAGCTAAACACACAGCAGCTTGTCATTCAATTACAGGACCAAGACTGCACGGCACGGGGACTCTGCAGAACAGAGAGCACTGCCAGGGACTACTTCAAAATATAGAGATTTTAAATTCAATTTTAGTGTTTTTTTAACACGTGTCCTTCACGTTTTAAACTCTCTGAAGAGCCCAAAGCTTATTTCTATAACTGCAGCATCTTTACAAATCTTTGCCACCACTAGGTGCCACCACTGGCTTCAAAACAGACCACACAGCACTGAGAAGAAAGTCCATCACAGGACTCATATTCCCCATTTAAACATTTTTCTTTGTGATCTTTAAATACATCTCTATGCATTCTGAGACAAAAGTCAGTGCCTCAGAACAAAGAAGATAAGAAATGGAGCGAATGACTCTCTCACAATCTGGAACAAGTTGATTACAAACACTTAAAACAGTTCGACACCTGCTCTAAAAGTAGATTTAAGTCTCTGACATATGATTGTACATGAGAAAAATGCCCTCTTTGGTCAATAGTTCTGATTGGCTGACGTAATGTGGCTTCACTTTGTAATGGTTGTGAGGATTTGGGCTGTGGTCTGTCAACACTGATGCGGTTCCGACGAGCTGCGTGAAAAGACTGAGTGGGCGCGTGAAGCCAGGAAAAAGAGAAGACAGACCGAGAGAGACCACCTGAGTGACAAGCAACAGCTGAGTCCACACATCTGGAAACCAAAATGCAACCTTCCATTAAGTGCGTCTTTACGCACACGCACTTTCCAAGATAAAATCCCCCCCCCCCCCTTCCCGGATCAGTCACAGTTTCACTTTTTACTCTCCCCCTGCAGGAAAAACATGTCACAGAGCCTCAACTAACTCCTTTCTTTACGCATTGATGCGTCTGGCCACGAAGTAATGGAGGGACAAATCATTTCCATCCCTTCATCTCGTTGGTACATTGGATTTCAAAGCTTCTTGCTCATTTTCTTTATGATCACAAATCTATTGAAAACTCCTACGTCCACACACGACTGCGTGCACTCAAACAGCAAGGTTACAACATTTAGAACATAATAAATTATTGTGAAAATAGTTCGGAGCCCAAAACAAAATACACACTCACCGAAGAAGCAACAACTTGGTCCGGGATCGGGTTCGAATATTCCGTTTATCAGAATAAAATCACGACTCTGGAGGCATCCGGGCTGACTGCAACCACCCAACACAACTCAGTGCCGTTCCGAGTCCTGAATCAGCTCGATGGATGCGGTCTTTCAGTGCATGGTCGTGGAAAGAGAAGGAGAGGAAAGGACGCTCACCAGGGTTTGAGCGCTGCGCAGCTCTGGCACCAAGTTTAAGCGTCGAGAAATTACCCCAGCGCTGCTCTGCGCGTATTGGCTTAAACATGAAGCACCCCCCAATCCTCCTCCTCCTCCTCCTCTCTCAACACAAGCACACGCCTCCCTCTCACTTACAGGCACACAGAACACTGTGTACATCCACGCCACGACTTTGTGGATATGTTTTGGAAGCATACTCAAGTCCACATTATCTATTTTTTTCCTTTTTTAATCTGTGTGTCTAAAAATACCATTACAAGTATGATAAGGTCATTGGAAACGCATTAGTTGCTACCATAGAGACACTGCAAGTGGCCATAGGAATTCAGCAGCAGTTATGTAACAAAATGTCCTCTGGGTTTACCTCTTCTTCATACATTATACACTTTTACAAGGAACACTTGATTGGATGGACCGTATGCATAGCAGTAAAAAAACAAACAGTCCTAGATTGATCAGATATAACTATGTCATATGCTCACATGCATGCACCACACCATAGCCCCCTGAAACTTGAAACTGACACTTGGGCATGACGTGTGGCGGTGTTATCGTACAGTGTGTTATACCCAGCCCTGCGATACGATACGTGTCCGGAATTTCAATAATCCAGAAGAGGCTTCCTTTTTTTGAGGCCGGCTGTTTTCTTGGAAAGGGAGTGACAAACGGTTTTATCCCCATCAGAGTTATTGAGTCCTTGAGGATGCTAAATCAACCATTGCCCTAGTGGATAGTATAAGGTATGGTTGCACTGGGCAGTTCAGTAGAAGGAGTGTGTAGCTGTGTGAAAGTGAGATACAGATACAGGTTAAAAAAATAGACAATTGTATAGTACATTAAAGAACAATAGTGGCATCTTAACTATCAATCTTATCAATATGGCTTGTTTTGTTGCTGATTTCCACAGTGTTGTTATTGGATGCAGATCCAAAAGGAGGACATGACAGGAAGAGGTTGAGAACCACTGATTTAGTTCAATAATATATTCACCATGTTTGCTAAAATCACGAGTTTATGTATTATTCAAATGTGTCCTGGTCAACCTCAGCAAGCTTCTGATTGACATGGGAGGATCGTCAGCTTGATGCAGTTTACCTGGGCCCTCCAGGCTATAGTCCATGTGCTCCACCTCAAATCACTATGTTTTGCACCTTCAACACCTCGACGCACAACTGCCACACAACCATGCGCACTGCTTCCATTGCTGGTTGACCTTTTAATGAATGGTTCTTTGAAGTAAATCTCCATCTAACATTCCCTGACTCACATTTTAGAGCACAACAACCCTGAAGTAACATTATCTATGCTAAAATGTGATAAATAGTGGAAACATTTATCTAAAAAGTGATTATGGTCATGAGAGGGACCAATCGGAAGCAAACACAAGACCTATTGTGATACCAGCAGCATAGTTTAATGAAAAGAAGAGATTTCCGTCATGCACAGAATGAGCAAAACATTACTCTTCTTACTATTTAAGGTCATGGCTGTCAAAAGGGTAATTCTTTCGGTCACAGAGATGGATGAACATCGAGTAATGAAGAGTTTCAAAAGGCAGCCAATCCTGATTTGTGAAGCGTTGCGTTTGGATTGAATTTTTCACTCTCAGCTGTGGAGTCAGGGGAGTGAAGAGACCGTTTGAATATCCGTGAGCCTGGCAGTGGGACAGACTGAGCAGGTCAAACAGTATGGCTTATTGTCCCTGCCAGCCAGTCAGTCAGCCCACACAGCGAGGGACCCGTGGACGCCCTCGTTCACCCTGCTGGCTGCTGCTCTGACAGCTTGATTTACAACTTACATTTACACTTCACATTTGTAGTCTTTTAGCTGTTATCCAGAGGGACTTGCAATGAGTGCAGCAGTAGAATGAACTTCAATTCGTAGATAACGACATCCTGAAAACAAGCAGTGGTGTGTTTCTGTTAGGGACCTGGCCACAGATGTTTAACAAATATTTCATTGATGCCTTGAAAAATATGCAAAAACTTTAACAAGGACAAAAAAAAAATCCACACTAGCTCTTAAAAACAGAGCTATAACAGTTTATGTCTTTGACTGAGCGGCTATTCTCACCACTCAATTCACCTGCTGTGAGTCACATCACACACACACATATACAGCCATACACTTAAAACACAACCTAGCTGCTGAACTTTTTAATGGGAAATCCGATCATCTTCTGTGACCCGATTGCTCCCTTTCCACCTGTTCTCCTGGCCTCGACGCAGAATGCAGTCGCCCACTGTGGTTCGCCTCCAGCTCTTTGTGCTCGCACACAGACATCTGTAACATTGAGCCTATTTACAGCAGACACACAGAGAGGGGAGAGGGGTATAAAAAGGTAAGCCTATAGGCCTACACATGCAGCCAGGGAGGAAGCGAGGATCAGTGCAGCGTGGAGAGCACAAAAGGGGCCTCTGGGTCAGTAAATCCTGTCCCTGTCACCTTCTGGTGCGTGGAAACGCGGCACGGTTGATGAAAGTGTCAGAGGCAGGCACAGCACGCTGTACATCTCTGATCCTGTCTTTTATCTCTCTCCCCCCCCCTCTCTTTTCTTTATGGAACACTGCTTTGAAAACAATCCAGATTGATGTGGGACCGCGTGCTTTGTGACGGGAGCAATGAATGGCAAACTGCTGCTTGAAGATATCAGCGTATCTGGTTATTGGAGACGATAAAAAGGCATCTCCTCCGAATTACGCCAGGCTCATCTTTCACACAGTACGCCTGGTTAGTTATCCCAGATATTTGGCATATTTGTTGGAATGGGAAATACGGTTATGCTTTTGCTTCCCTGCTCATATTTGGTGATGGATTTCAAAGTGGACGTGTTAACTGGGTCAGCAGTGAAAGTAAATCAAAGAAAAGTGCTTTTAGGACTAGTCATTAAAACACTGGAGAACCACACATTGTGTCGTTAACGTGACTAATGCATTTCTGCATTAAAAGTAATATTTAACACTGTAAAACATGTCAGACGGATGAGATAAAGACCAGCTGGGAAAACTACAACAGAGCTGTGGCTAAGGCAGCTTTGGATAAAAAATAAAAATGTTTTGATCTGGCGAAAATAGTTTGGGATCAAGCAATGTGCAAAAAAAAAAAGAAGAAAGAAAAAAAACAGTTCCCTTTCTTAGTTGTGACCCACCGGGCCCCTTCTCTCTGTGACCCTGTATAACCCAGCTCCAAAAACCTCCTTCCCTCTTTGTGAGAATGAGGTAAGTGGTTCCAGATATGGCCCTGAAGGAAAACTGTCAATCAAGCTGTGGGAATCTGGGCAGCGTTTTTGTAATCGTCCGGCCGTCCCCGAAGCATCACCTGGAGGAGACAGTGAACAGGAATGTCGTCTGAATCATCCTGCTCTGTTTCACCTGAAATAAACAAAGTGTGAGGCTTCTTTCTACTTCAGATAAAAGCAGAAGACCTCTTTTTTAATAAAGTTACAAAAAGCACAAACTTTTTCTCCAGATGTCCGCTCACTCACTGCCACTCATCGCATTTATCTACCTGCAATATGTTGCTTCTCTCCCCTGCCATTAGTCTATCTGCCTGTGTCATCTCTGTCATTACCACAGGCAGAATGGGGGTTGGGGGGGGGGGCACTGTTGTCACTGAGCTGTCATCAGACGCGTCAGTTAACTCAAGTCAGAGGGGGTTTGGTTACACTTACTGGAAAGATCTACCGGATGCAAGGCCCTGTCTTCCATTTTTCAGATTCAGTTGTGGCCATTCATACATGTATACATGGGCTGTTCTGAATGGAGAAAGGAATTTTGTATTTTGAACATTAAATCATAGATTCAATCGTCACTTTAAACAAAAGACAATGTAGGTAAATAATAGCTCATTATATGTATTCCGGTGTGAATGCTCTGCGTTCACTATGCAAAACTTGTATTTACACTTTGTTTTGTCTACTAATTTAACAATCAAACACATTAATGTGTTGATTTGTGAGCTTTAGAGGTACTGGTAGGCAGACTTGGACAGAGCTGGGATGATTGTTTCCCCCTTTACATTTTAACAAACAACTCAATTACTGTATAAAGCCCATGTCCGGCTCAACTGAGCACTGCGCCTCACCCTTATACCTGCATACACAACATAAAACATTTTATAGAGGAATAGGTAACTCACAATGACAAGTGGACCGTCAAGGGTGAGATGTGGTATGACACAGGAGAGGCTTAGGCAACTATTGCAACTAGCTCAGGCATTTTTATGAGAGGAAAGGCTCGGAGTGGATGGAGCGGAACACAATCTTTCCTCATTTCTGGAATTCCTGCCACCTCTGAGTGGTAATAGTTGAATGCAGTAAATCAACAGTCTGGGGCCCCCCTACTGGGACACACACGCACACGGCTTCCTGACTCACTGGTGTGGTGTTTTTTTTAGACAGGTGTGTGACAGAGAGTGAGCGCACTGGTTAAATGTTAATCCCATTACTGTTCGTTGCTCGAGGCACATTTAGTCCCGACGCGTGCACACACACACACACACACACACACACAAAGCAACTCCTACGGCGATACCTCTCAAACTGCCCTAATTAGGCTAAGGACACACATCGCATCCTGCGTGCTACCTCCAACCTGTGCAGGACCTCCAGTAGTTAAGCTACCATAGCTGGCATACCTGAGCACTTTGTCAGGCACTTGAACCCCTGAGAGCCTGGCTGTTTAACTCTTGAGTCTTTGACCATATTAGGTCGGGTGGTCGTTAACTGGAGGGGATGGAAGTCGCCACGTCGCTGCCTGCGGCTTCCTGCTGCATCCCCACTACTGAACACAATTACTGGAGAGGTCAGTGCACTGCCTGGCCAAGAGACCCACACTTCACTTCATATAAAGGATTTGATGGCAGCCCTTAATAAACTTTGTGTCAAATATGTTTTTTATTGCAGAGGCTTTTGAGTGATCTATAGCATTAAACATCTAAAGATCATCTAGTGCAAAAGAAAAGGAATGAATGAGCCTGTTGTACCCTTAATTAAAGT